CCAAAACAACAGCAAACAAACAAACAAACAAACAAACAAACAAACAAACAAACAAACAAACAAACAAATAATTAATTAATTAATTAATTAATTAATTAATTAATTAATATATTTATTTGCAGCTACTGGGACCTTTGGGCAGAGCGGGTTGATGACGCCGTAGCAGAAGTCGAAGAGAACGAAGAATTCGAACGAAGTTATTTAAAACAAGAAAAAAAATTATTTCCCTTCAAAACTTCGTCAACTGAGTGGACCATCAATGGGGCATTAGGTTCGTTTGTTTGTTTGTTTGTTTGTTTAGTTGTTTGTTTATTTGCTTGTTTGTTTAGTTTGTTTGTTTGTTTGTTTAGTTGTTTGTTTAGTTGTTTGTTTGTTTTGTTTAGATTGTTTTGTTTTTTTTGTTTTGTTTTTTTTGTTTGTTTAGTTTGTTTGTTTGTTTTGTTTGTATGTTTAGTTTGTTTGTTTAGGTGTTTGATTTGTTTTGTTTGTTTTGTTTAGTTTGTTTGTTTAGTTGTTTGTTTGTCTATTTGTTTAGTTTGTTTGTTTAGTTTGCTTGTTTAGGTGTTTGTTTGTTTGCTTGTTTGTTTGTTTTTGTTTGTTTGTTTTGTCTTGTTTTCTGTCTCCATATATATATATATATATACATGTATGCATGCATGCCTATGCAGATTTTCATATAAACATATATATACAATATATTATATAAATTAAATATAAATATATAAATATATAAATATATATATATAATATCCAAAATTAAACACATGCATCCATCTCTCTTTCTGTACAAATGATGAGTTTACTAACAAACCAACAAAACAAACAAACAAACAAACAAACAAACAAGTAAACAAACAAACAAACAAACAAACAAACAAACAAATAGAATTAATTAATTATATATTTATTTATTTATTTATTTATTTTCAGGTCTGAGCGTCTTTCTCATGGCGTGGGGGCCGCTGGTGATGGCCCTCGGATTTATTTTCGGCGGTTTAATCGGCTTTGGGTTTTCTGTGGCCAACGACATCTGCAGACTCAGACGCAAACAGTCTGCAGCAAAACAACAAAAAGTATTGTTCTATTCTATTCTATTTATTTTATTTTATTTATTTAGTTGTTTATTTATTTATTTTTTAGTTTAGTTTAGTTTGTTTTATTTTATTTTATTTTGTTTTGTTTTGTTTTGATAATTTAATTTGGTTAGTTTGGGCATTTTAGTTATTTTAGTTTATTTATTTATTTATTTGATTTTATTTACTTTTTAAATTTATTTTATTTCATTTATTTAATTGTTTAATTAATTAATTATCATATTAATTAATTAATTATTTGTTTATTTATTAGTTTATTTATTTATGTATTTATTTGTATTATTTGTTTATTTATTTACAGCGCCGCGTTGAAAATTTGATGCGTTGGGCGAATTATCATTTTGCTACGAGTCAGTCGCAGCTGCAACTCATTTTTAAAGTTATACTCGAATATCAGGTATAAACCCTAAACCCTTATAAACCCTAATAAACCCTTATAAACTCTTATATAAACCCTTATATAAACCACTATTATAACCCTTATAGTAAACCCTAATAAACCGTTATAGTAAACCCTAATAAACCATTATAAACCCTTATATAAACCCTTATATAAAACCTGATAAACCCTTATAATAAACCCTTATTAACCCTTATAATGAACCCTTATAAACCCTTATAATAAACCCTCATAAACCCTAATAATAAACCCTTATAATAAACCCTTATAAACCCTTATAATAAACCCTCATAAACCCTTATGTACAATACTAAACCCTAATTTACCCTCAACGCCAACTTATGTTTAAAGTTATACTCGAATATAAACCCTAAACCCTAATAAACTCTTATAAACCCTAATAAACCATACTAAACCCTAATAAACCCTAATACACCCAAATAAACCCTTAACTCCAGCATATTATAAAGGTTAGAATATCAGATATATTATTAATTAATTGATTATATTAATTAATTTTATTTTATTCTATTTTATTTTATTTATTTATATTTTCAGGTGTTGGCGAAACTCGGAGGGGCCTCTAAAACTGCTCGATCTCAATTAAAACTTCTTTATCAATTCATGTACTTTGTTTTTTATTCATTTTCATTTAACCTAATTAATTAATTAATTAATTAATTAATTAATTATTACTTTTATTATTTATTTATTTATTTATTTATTTACTTGTTTGTTTTTTATTTGTTCGTTATTTATTGCTTGTTTATTAGTTAATTATTTCCTTAGTAATTAATTAATTAATTAATCTACGAATTAAATATATTATTTATTTATTTATTTATTTATTTATTTATTTATTTATTTGTTTATTTGCAGATCTCGTAATGATGTTGCGCATTGTCTTTGGCTTTACTTAGACTATTTTTTATTTAATTATCGCCAAATGACTCGCAGCGAGGTTTTTATGTTTTTTTTAGTTTGCCGCGTCTGCTCGCAATGCGTTCAATCGCTGAGGTATTTCTTTTCTTCATTCTCCTGCTGCTGCTGCTGCTGCTGGTGCTGGCGTTGCTGCTGCTGGTGCTGGCGTTGCTGCTGCTGCTGCTGCTGGCGTTGCTGCTGCTGCTGGCGTTGCTGCTGCTGCAGCTGGGGTTGCTGCTGCGGCTGCTCCGGGTGCTGCTGCTGGTCCTGCTGCTGTTGCTGCGTCGGATGCTGATGCTAGGGGTGGTGCTGCTGCTGTTGGTGCTGCTATTGCTGCTGCCTTTGCTGTTGCTGCTCCATCGGCACTCCCCCTTGTCCTTTCTCTGTTTGGTAGCTAGCTATCCAATCAGCTAGCTAGCTAGCCAGCTAGTCATCCAGTTAGCTAGACAGATAGCTAGCTAGCTATCCAGCTAGCCGGTTAGCTAGCTATCCATCGAGCTAGCTAGCTAGATAGCTAGCTAGATAGCTAGCTAGATATCCATCCATGCAGGTAGCTAGCTAGCTCGCTATCTACCCCAATCATCTGGCTAGCTAGCTAGCTAGCTAGATAGCTAGCTAGATATATATAAGTTTGTGTTGGTGTTGGGTTAAGGAAGAGGCCGCCGCCTGTGGTTGAGCGCATGGAGAGCATTTTGCAAGACGAAGTAATTCAAACAATTTTCAAAAAAGTGAAAGCGGCTTCGGCAATGACTCGCAAACATGTAAACCCTAAACCCTAAACCCTAAACCCTAAACCCTAAACCCTAAACCCTTCTATTTTCTTGCTTTCTTTCATTCGTTTACTCTTTCGTTCATTCACATCACGCCTTTCTTTGTATACAGCTTCCTAGATAGCTACCTAGCTTGCTAGCTAGCTAGTCAGCTGTCTAGCTTGCTAGCTATCCAGCTTGTTAGTTCTATGCCTAGCTAGCTAACCAGCCTCCTAGCTAGCTACCTACCTAGCTGCCTACCCAGGTAGCTAGCTAGCTAGCTGGCTAGCTAGCATGCATGCATGCAATTGTTGTAATTGTGTTCTGTGGAGAGTATAATATCTTTTATTTTGTTTTTATTTTTTTACTTGTTTACAGGATGAGGAAAAAGAAGAAAATTTAATTTTATGCGCGGATATAAATGAAGAAGTGCAGAGACATGTTTTAAAGGGAGGCGATCTCGTTCAAGGTGTATATACACCTCAACGTTTATTTCTTTATTCTTTTATTTTAGTTTATCTTATTTTCTTCGCTTTGTTCTCAGTCTACTCTTTTTGGTTGTAGCTTTATGCGGTATTAGGTAGATGCATTTGTTTATCTGGCGGCAAATATATATATATATATATATGTAGATATATATATATATATATATATATATATACATATGTATATATATATATATGTAGATATATATTTATATATATTATATATATATATATATATGTTCTATGCAGATATTTATTTATACATATATGCATATGTATATATATGTACAGATATATTCTTCTCTATATGCATATATGCGTGCATATATATATATGTATATATATATATATATACATATATAAATTATATGTAAATTATTATATATATATATATATATATGTAGGAATATACACATTACAAGCCTGGCGTTTGTATTTCCTCATAGACAACTGTCTATGATTTTTATTTTTTATTTGTTTGCGTGTATCTTACTATACAAACAACAGAACTAGAACAAAATAATATTATATAAAATATATATATTATATTAATAATATATATATATATATATATATTATGTTTGTGTGCAGCACTTCGTATGGATACATCTGTGCCGGTATTAGTTAGCGACAGCTCAGTTGAAGGGTCGCTGATGAGTCGCATACAGTCTGAATCAGAGGGAGAAGAAGAAGAAGAAGAAGAAGGAGAAGAAGAAGAAGAAGGTGAAGGTGAATATGAAGAAAAACAACTAAAAATAAAAGCAGAAGAAGAAGAAGAAGGAGACAAGAGACGAAGAGACGACTCAAAAGACAGATTCAGTAAAACTGAAGTAAGTCTGAAAAATATATTTATATTAATATAAATATTTTTTTTTGATGTTTGTTCTTTTATATCTTTTATTGTTTAGTAAACAAAAACATAAAACATAATTATTCAGACAGGCAGATGTGAGAGAAGATATATATACATATATATACATATTTAACATAATACAGTGTATATATATATGCATATTATTAATATAATTAAAAATATATATTATTTTATTTAAGTTTTGTTGTTTGTTTGTTAAACAAAAACAAAAGACTGACTCAGTCAGACTAGAGTGAAGAACAAAGACAGAAAATATACATCATAATATATACATATATATATTATTTCTATATATATATTATCATAATATATATATATATATTATTTCATTGATAATTATTATTATGCCGTTTACAATATAAAAATATATTTATTTATTTATTTATTTATATTTCGAAGAAAATTACAAAGACAACGAAAATCGCAGACTTTAATATTAGTTCTCAACAATTATTTTAACTTTAAATAAATAAATAAATAAATAAATAATAAATTAATTAATTAATAATGAGTTAATTGATAATATTATTTTTATTTGTTGTGCGTCTTTAGATTCTCCCCGGCGATTTAATGCCGAAGACAGAGTTTAATGTGGCTCTTCGAGCAGATGCAGCAGCAGATGTAGAGCGTCAGACTTCGCTGCTGCGAGAAGCAGCAGCAGCAGCAGCAGCAGCAGGAGCAGCAGCAGCAGGAGCAGCAGCAGCAGCAAGTCATGCTGCTGCTGCAGCAGCAGCAACCACTGGCGCAGCAACTTCTGCTGCATACCCTTCACCTCCGGCCCCTCCTTCCTCTGCTGCTGCTGCTGCTGCTGCTGCTGCTGCTCCTTTAAGAGGCTTAAGAAGCGAGCGTAGAATTGATACTTTAAAAACTCTCGCTCCTTCAGTGTCTTTACAGCTGCAAGGTATGCATGCATTTGCTGCATTGAGGTGTATGTACAGCTCAATACCTTTATTATATTCAAATTAATATTCGTCTTTCTTTTTACTTCTTTGCAGACAAAGACAGACTTAAGTCACGAAAATCCTCGAAACTCGAGAGGAAAATCACTGAAGGTTAGCAAGGATCTGCTGCTGCTGCTTCTGCTGCTGCTGCTGCTGCTTCTGCTGCTGCTGCTGCGCTGCTGCGTTGTTGCTGATCGTCTGCTTTTTTATATTGCTGTACCTTTTGTCTCCAAACCGTTTGCTGCTGCTGTTGCCGTTGCTGCTGCGGTGCTGCTGTTGCTGTTGCTGCTGCGGTGCTGCTGTTGCTATATATATAATATATTATATATAATATATTATATATATAATATATTATATATATATGTTGCTGCTGAGGTGTATGCGCAGGTCCCCCTCGTTTATTTCATTCGTACGAAGACCTGGTGAATTTCGATGTGAAGCTTAAACACCAGACCCCAATGTAAGTAAACAAAGATAAAGAAAAATAAGTTTAGTTATTTGCAGCGACAGCAATAAATAATTATAGTAAACAGCAACGACAATAAAGAAGAACAGCTATAAACAACAATAACTGTGTTGCTGCTGTAGCTCTGCTGCTGCTCTTGCTGCAGCTGTGCTGCTGCTCTTGCTGTAACTCTTTTGCAGCAGCTGTTTTGCTGCTGTGCTGCTTCTACTGCTGATGCATCTACTGCTGCTGCATCTACTGCTGCTGCATCAACTGCTGCTGCATCTGCTGCTGCTGCCGTTGATGCATGCATATGCGGTGTATGTACAGCGCGTCTTATGAAATGCAATTTTTAGAGGAGAAAGAGGCTCAAGATGTGACAGACCCGATGTGGGAGCTGACAGTAAATCAGTCTTCGATAAAAGTTTATAAATATAATTCACCGGACTCTCCTGTAGTTCTTGTAAAAGCATATACAACCCTTGAAGGAATACCTTTAAACGTTCTTTGTCATCATATTCGTCATATACCTACGCGACTGAAGTGGTAAGCAAAGAAAAACAAAAAAAACAAGCACAAACATAATCTATAAGCTGCCTATACACCTCACCACTACATAACCTGCATATACACCCCAATCAAGCTGCATATACTCAGCAATTAAGGCCTTCTTTTCATTCTTTTAATGCATATTTCGATCAATCTGCTGCTGCTTCTGCTCCTCCTGTTTCTGGCGCTGCTGCTACTTCTGCTGCTACTTCTGCTGCTGCTGCTGCTGCTACATCTGCTGCTGCTGCTGCTACTTCTGCTGTTGCTGCATCTGCTGCTGCTGCTGCTACTTCTGCTGCTGCTGCTGTTGGATACATGATGATTGATATAACCTACTGTTGTTAGCTATACGATGATAGATTTAAACTGCTGCTGCATTTAAATAGATTAATATTTATTTATTTGCTTAGGGATACTACCTTCGGAGATTATCGCGTAGTAGAGAAAGACATCGATGGCTGCGAAATTATTTACTGCCTCATGAAAGCGCCTTTCCCTGTCTCCAATAGAGACTTCCTACAGGTATTTCATCAAAAGATGTATATATATATATATATATATGTATATGTATATGTATGTATGTATATGTATATGTATGTATGTATATGTATATGTATATGTATATGTATATATGTATATGTATATGCATGTATGTATATGTATATGCATACGTATATGTATATGTATGTATGTATATGTATATGTATATATAGATGCAGATGCATATATATATATATAATATGTATATATGTATGCAGAAATTGAAAAGAAATCTATTAATAGTATGTATGTATCAGTAATATAGAAATGCATTAATAAAGTAGAATGTACATATATAAATAATATGCATGGAAGTAGAATATAAATATGTAAATTTGAAGATAATATTAATGTATTGAATATATATATATATATTCAAAATATATATATATAAGTAGAATATAAATATAAATAAAGTAAAATATAAATATATAAATATCTAGATAATATATTTTAGGGTTTGTTTGATGTACGATATTTTCGTCTGTAGGGGTTTTCTCTAGGTAGAATATTATTGTTGTCTTCATTAATTTTATTTCTTATTATATATTACTTTTATTATTATTATTCATCATTATTATTATTAATTATTATTATTATTATCTATATTTAATGCTACCTAAATGAAGAAGAAGAAAATATATTTTTTGTTTTTTGCAGTGGAGACGAACGGAAGAAGACCCAGAAGCCAAAGTTACTAAGATGCTGATGAGGTAAAAACAAACAAAAATAATTAATTAATTAATTAATTAATTAATACATTGAAACAAATTATTAGTAGCTAAAGTGTATATGTATATATATATATATATATATGTATATATGTACACGTTTATATACATGTATATATTGTTGTTTGCAGATGGCTAAGTTGATATTTGAGTTTCAATTATGTATTCATCTCTCCACTCATTTCTGTGTAGACCTACTTGATGTATATATATATATATATATGTATGTATGTATATATATATATACGTATATATATGTATATATATGTATATACATATATATACATATATATTATATACTAGATATATTCATTTTATTGGAATGAATGTTTTTGTGTTTTTTATTATGTGGTTTGTCTTTATGAGGCCTCCTTTAGACGAAATGTTTTTATTTCTTTTCTTTCTGCTGCGCCTTTATTAGTTTTCATTTATGAATTGTCTTTAATGGTGTTTGTTTATTTAATTGTTTTTTTAGTTTTACATTTGTTTCAAATGCTTCATTTAATTTTCTTTTTCTTTCTTCTCAGGTCTGCTGATCATCCGTCTGTGCCGGAGAAGAGCGGAGTCGTCAGAGCGGAGACCCTTATTTCAGGTGTATAGGCACCTCATCTGCATGCATTTACAATTATATTATAATATTAAATGGAATAATACGAATAATTCCGGTGACAATAATATCAACAGCATTAATAATAATTATTATTATAATTATTCACGCATGCATATGCTGTTTGTTATGTAGGCTACATAATGGCGGAGGTCTCCAACGACCCGAATTCTTCGACTTTGTTTATTTTAGCGCAGACCGACGTCCGCGGTTTAATTCCAAAGGTAATTTTGCGCTGCTTCTTTTCTTCTTTTGCATGCATGCTGAGCTCCTCCATTATCCCCCTCTGCATATATACAGTGTTATGTATATGTATATATATATATATATATATATATTATATATTTGTATGTATGTATATGTGCATATGTATATATGTGTATATGCATATATATGAGAAGAGAAAGAGAGAGAGAGGGATGCAGCACGAAGTATGTACATCTTTATATAAATTTATTTACTTTTTATTGTTTAATATATATATATATATATTATCTATAGCAAGTATATTATATATATATTTATATATTTATGTATATATATGCTGTTGCGTTGATGTGCAGTGGATTGTCAACACCACAGCGGCGCGAGCTCCCGTGGGCTGGGTGGAGAATCTGAAGAAGGCGTGCAAAGCGTATATGAAGGAGCACGGGAACTACGTGCCTCCTTACAACCCAATTGCATAGAATAAATAGAATAGAAAAGCATAGAATAAATAGATCCTTTGGATATTTGATTATTTCTTATGGAGTTGGTGGGCTTGATATAGAAGGAAGAGAGGGAAAAACCGTAGAAAGTGCTGTTTAAAGAGCTTGAAAAGGAAGGGGGTCTCCTCAGCTGAGGGCGAGGTGAAGGCCGTTGCAGCGGCCTCCGCTGCGAAGAATAAGAACAATGAATGCTTGTACATATTTTCTTATTCCGAGTAAAACAAGAAGATAAAATTTGCTGCCGGTGAGAGGTGCATGAATGTACATCTCGTATGGCAGGAGGGCAGAGAAGAAACCCTAGGGGAGAAGCAGCATTGTTTTGTATTTCGCTGCTTCATGGTGGGTTTAGGGTTTAGTGTCTAGGGTTTAGGGTTTAGGGTTTCGGCACCCATTGTGTATTTCTTCCACACAGCAACGATTGCTGAGAGGATGCGTATATACACGAAACTGAACAGGGTGTTATCCGTTGCTCTTTTTGTTGAAGTGCGTATTTATATGGCTGCATATAATAACTGTGCATAGAGGGGCGGGTAAAGACTGCCTCAGTTTTCCTCTTTTTCTTGCCTCTTACCATCTTCTTTCTGAGAAGAAAGTGCAGCTCAGAGGCTAGGGGGAAAAGACAGGGAAATACGTCTTTTTCAGTTGACTCCAGTGGCATCTACAATAGAATACAATATGTGGAATATATATCATGCATAATGCATGCAGTGTTCAGCAGCCGGTTTCAGCAGAAGATAGATATGAATGAGCAAAACGATGAAACCTGCTCATGCTGTGCACCATCATTATCCGCCGAGGTGTCTGTACAGCTCAACGCAATTCAAGTTTCGGTTTCTTGAGGAAAAAACAAAGGAATCCGCGGCTTAATGCATGAAGGTAGTCTTTCTGGAGCAGTTGAATTGAGGATGAATTTTGTTTTTCTTTTGCTTTTACCTTTGCATCTCGTATCAGTTCCTGCGTGGAGTCTGCGCAGCAGCGGCGAAGACTCCAGCACTCTTTCTGATGGTCCATTTGCTGTAGTGACGGACGTACAAAACGGTGATTTTTTTTGCAAATTGGCTATTTTTTAAACAAATGTATTCATTTGGGAAACATATTCGTGAATATGCAACCAAGGGACGGTCTGTAGCACAGAAGAAGGCATTCTAGCCGACCTTCCCTGGCCGCCAGAGTGTGAATGCACTTTCTACCGTCTCAGTGGGTTTCAGCGCAAACAACCTGCTTTCTTCTGATACCAAATAACACCCATTATGCAGAAATGAGAGAAGAACGGTGCGCTGCCTTATCCATCGCCAATGAAGAAGAATCAGAAGAGGTCAGAGCGCAAACAAACCAAAAGGCAACTCAAACTACATGCAGATACTCACAATCGGCCGCTGCAGTGCGAAAAGAACTTCTGCGAGATCTGCTGCACCATTAGAGTCTCACGAATACGTAAAACGACAACCCCAGCCTAATGCAAACATAAATTTTCATATAATATATGTATATATATATATATATTCTACTCTGTACAGCCAGCCCCGGAGAGGACCGCACGCATTTGGTAATCTGCAATGCCAATAAAGCAATTAATTAGACATTGAATTTTCACACTGGCCCTTCTCAGCACTGCAGGAAGAAATGCACAAAGACAGAGGGCGAACTCCCTAGTAAGAAATTTAATGAGGCTAATAGTGAAGTCGTTTGCAGTTCCTTCAAAATAAACAGGCCCAGAAGATATGGCCGAAAAGATCCTAACAGCAGTACGGACGCTCTCCCTTACTGGCCCTTGCATGCACTGAGTGCATGCAATGTTTGCATGCATGCACTGCCTGCCGAGAAAACAATTATAAAATATATATTTATTTGTTTCAGCTGATGGAGTATGTGGAGGCCTTTTATGCGAAAGAACCAGAAATACCATACCTGGGAATCCCAAGCCGTCTGCAGCTCCCCCAGCCCCCGCCTCCTGCAGCAGCAGCAGCAGCAGCAGCACCAGCCGCTGCAGCAGCAACACCAGCCCCTGTAGCAGCAGCACCAGCCCCTGCAGCAGCAGCAGCAAATCCACTTGTTGTATATAGACCCTCAGCCCCAATTACAGCAGTCTATCCTTTAGCTCGATTGCCTACAGAGGAAGAACTGGCAGCCTCTGCTGCGCATGTGGGAAGTGCTTTCTTTACAAGAGTTTCTTCTTAAAGTAAGCTGATAGAGCAAAACCTAATAAGTATTTATTTCTATAATTATAAGTATAAAATAAACATAAATATATACACATTTATGAATGTGAATAAATATTTATATTTATAAATATAACATACTATAGAAGAATTTAAACAACAATACTGCTGTTTAATTCCTGCAATAAATAGACTCGTGGAATGCAGCTACTGGATATACACCGGGCGGCCAATTTAAAAAATAAACAAAAAAGAAACAGAGAAGGACATGCCTGCTGCATGCACTTCTAAATGCATTTATTTTTAATGTTGCTGCTATTAATATGTTTGCTTTTTATTTGCTTTTGCTGGTGTTTACTTCTAGTTGCATATAGAGGAAAGACTATTAGTAAGTTTGTCATTACGTGTAGATGTATATATATATATATATATTATATGTATATTTTGTTCATACGAAGTATTGATATGTATCATCTATAGATAGTAGGGATATATTACTAAAATATATATCAGTGATATATGGTACCCACATATTATTGTGTATGCTATTGATGCATATATAACTGATATATTGCATTGATATATTATACTATATTCTATATAGTATATATATTGATATATTATATACGTATTGGTGCATTACTGCTCTAGGCTAGATATGTTTACTGCTTATATAGACTAGAGATATACTAATGATATATACAACTGACGTATATTGCTGATACATTTTATTGATATCTATGGTCGATGTATATTACTGATGCATTTATTACTTATGTATCATTGATGTTTCTATTAACTCTATATATATTAATAATATATATAATATATATATATATGTTGCTCTTATAACCTCCTTTTGTATACTATTGGTATATCACACAAGGAAACAAGAGAATAACTATTAAATGCAGTTGGCATTTAAAACAGAGAGAAAACGAAAAAAAGAATAATTTGAATTGCGCTTGGGTAGACAGTAAAATAGAAGAAGAAGGAGAAAGAGAGAAGAAATAATTTATGTCTCTAGCGAATATCCCTCTGAATATTTATTGCAGTAATCGTAATCCTTCTTCTTTTTTTTCTTTTTCTTTTTCTTCTCTGTAAATGTTATTCGTTGCTCTTCTTCTTCTGCTGCCTCTGTCTCTTGTTTTAATTCCTCTTCTTCTTTTTCTTCTTCTTTTTCTTCTTCTGTAGTTTGCTCGGTCTTGTGTTTTTTTCGTTTCTTTTTCTTTTTTTCTGTCTTCTCTACTGGCAGTACCACCAAACAGCCGCTGTTCTCCCCTTCACTTCCCTCTTCTTCTCCTGAACGCATCTCGTAATAATCATATTTCTTCTCTTTTTCTTTTTTTCTCTTTTTCTTTTTCTTAAACGCCGCCTCTGCCGCATGCAGCTCCTCCTCCTCCTCTTCTAACCCCTCACCCGCCGCCTGCTCTTCCTCTTGTTCTAGCCCAGCCTTCTTTCTCTTCTTTCGTTTCCTTTTTTTCTCTTCTGCTGCTGCTTCTTCTTCTGCTTCTTCTGCTGCTTCTTCTGCTGTTGCTTCTTCTTCTGCTTCTTCTGCTGCTGCAGTTTCTTCTTCTGCTGCTTCTTCTTCTATTTCTTCTTCTGCTTCTTCTTCTTCTGCATCTTTAATTTGCTTTATTGATTTTTCTTCATCTGCATCCATCAGCTGGATTGCTCGCGTGTCAGTGAAGGGCGTTGCTAGGAGCGCTGCTGTGGCTGTATCGATTCCCTCCGCAGCAGCAGCAGCAGCAGCAAAGAGAAACTCATCTTCTTCTGTTGCTTCATATTTGCTGCACTCTCCTGCTGCTGATGCATCCTGTAAGAAACGCGGACAGCCACGAGGAGGGGCATTAAGAGGAGAAGCCTTTACCTCTGCTAGCCTTGCCTTCAATCTTGTGAGTTCTTTTGCTGCAGCTGCTCTTCTTTTTCTTCTCATTTTCTTTTTTATCTTCTCTGGAGACCAGCCCTTCGCCTGCGCCCTCTTCATAATCTCCATCTCTAAGCTCTGCTGTACATACACCGGAAGGGCCCCCCGGAGCAGCTTCGCTGCATCTTTGCGGCGTGTAGATGTTAAGCGTTGTTCGTGGAGCTGTAGCAGCCTCGCTACCGCTGCATCTAAGGCAATGCCTTCATCTTTCATTATCCCAAATGCTGCATCTCTTACTACGCTCTGCTGCAGCGAAGCAGGAACAAAGGGAAGAATATCCTGCCATTCAACGCCTCTTAAACCTGGGGGCAGCTGCTCTTGCTGCAGCAACCTCCCTAGACACCGCAGCACATGCCGCAGCACTACTGGACGTGGGTTCGCCTGCATGCGCCTCTCTAACTCCTCAGGAAGCACCAATAAGTTATATGCATGGCGAAGACAAGAGTGAGATCGTGTAGGGAAGGCCTCCTCCTGAATACGCTGCCAAGGGATGCCAAAGGATGGTAGCTCTTCTCCTGTTCTTTGCTGCACTTCCTGCAGCAGCAAACGGCGCTGCTCTTCCGTAAGACTGCTTTTGCCTGATTCTGCTGCTGCAGCATCATTTGCTGCTGCAGAAGAGTCTGCTACAGCTACAGCAGCAACGCCTTCTTCTGCCGGGCTACTACTACCACCTTCTGCTGAAGTCTTCTGGTCTTCAATTGCATGCAGATACTGCGCCTCTAACTGGCTAAGACGGGGCTGTAAAGTCCTCCATCTGTCGCATACATCTGCTGGTCTACGGTTTAGTATTGCGCCGATCTTCACCCATCTACCTCTAATAGAAGAGGGTATACGGCGAGCTAGCAGCAGCAGCTGCCGTGTTTCTTCTTCTGACCAGAAGCCCCTCTTTACTGCGCCTGTAATGCGGCGTCGAATATATCCATAGACAGAAGCAAAGGGCCTTTCAGGAAGACAGCGAGCAATAACTTGAAAGCGCCCTACATTATGTCTACCGCCGCTACCCCCTGATAAACTCTTCACTGCTTCTTCTACTGATGATAATCCTTCTCGCTGTGCATACTGCTCCAATGCCTCCTCTATTATTAAACGCTCTTCTGTTGTAAAGGGGCCCTTCCGATAGTTAAGGCCGCTGCGCGCATGCAAACGCCATAGACCCGTCGCACCCGGGGCTGCTAGACTCAGGAACTGCAGCTGATTAGGCGAAAAAGATTCTTCTCCCTTCCTCACCACCTGAGATGCACCAAAAGGAAGCTGAGAAGGAGCAAGAGCCGGTACGTACACCGGAGCTTCCTTTGGTATTAAGATGCGTTCATCTTTGGGGGGTTTACGAAAAGACTTTTCTTTTTTCTCCTTTTTATGCCTTACTTCGCTGCGCTCCGGCTCCTTCCTCAGAAACTCTGAAGAATAACATTCTGATGAAGAGGCAACAGTAGAAGAGGCCTCTCTTTGGAAGGAACCGCTGGTAGTATCATTCGGTTCTACTTTTACTGTTAATCGTTTCAGCCACTCTTGTGGCGTATCTCCACAGTTATTGGCCTCTCTTGAGTCAGAAACCATCGATAAACTCAATTAAAAACAAATAAACAAATCAAAATATCGAAAACCAACAAATTACCACCCGAAATGAGCAGAAGGAGGCCTACGCCAACACAACAACGGGCTTAAGGAAACCCACGGCATTTCCAGTAGATATGCAGCTACAGCCATCAAGCTGCAGCTTAAATCTGAAGATCCTTCATGCAATTATAAAAGAGTTCTCAATTTAAATGATATTGCAGAGGCTTGCAGTAATCAATCATGAAAACGTATAACGGCCGACTAGTGATTGCAAGCCCCACGAGTACGCTAACTTATACAAAGGGAATGTCGCTATAAATACACAGATATCCCTGCATTGCAAAATAATTTTAATCCATTTTTCATCCAAAATATTCAATATAATTTATTTACATCGTTAAAAACTACAGTTTTAGTGCAATATCATCTGCCCAGCCTTGACTGACATCTCTGGGCTGCGTGCTAAGCCTCGGGGTTGATGGAGCCTTCCTATTCTTCCTCCTTAAGAAATAAATACTAACTATAGCTCCGCAGTGTGTGTACGTGTATCTGCATATATTTGCATGCACATATATGTATATATTTACATTTATAGGCTCTGTGTAGTAGCCTGATCTAGGTGAAGTTGTTGCATGTGTTAATTACCTTTCATGCAAAGTGACTACTGAAGGACGTCACTAATACTTATCTACGCTGTTCGTGCATGCATGCACCAAAATAAGTTTGGCTTGGATATTGCAAATATCCATTTGCATCATCTACTTGCAAATATTGTGCCGTGATTACCCTGCAGCCGCAGTTGCAGAAGCAAGAAGAGATGCAACTCTTTGTAGGGTCTAGGGTTTAGGGTTTAGGGTAAAGGTGCCTGCGGCATAACCCGCCGCAGTCTTTTCTACCGTTGTGCTTAAGACATCTGAAGAAGTTGGAAATGTTCTAGGGTGTTGTACAATCTTTTCAGTTAGTTGCAGTTAAGGTGATTGTTTACTTTCTGTGTTTCTCAATACACCAGAGAAAACAAACTCTAAAAGCGAATTCTTTTTCTCGTTTACCACTACTGAAGGCAGACGATAGACATCTTCGTAATTCCACCTTGACAGCAAAGTACAGGATCAACATTGCGCATGCCGCGCATACATAGGGTGTCTGTCTCTCTTTCTCTGCACATATCTTTCTTTTAGTGTTTCTCTTGCTGTTTAAGACTTGTTCTGTTTCTATCTCCTTTTTCTGTCTAGCTCTCGTTTAGTCTCACCCTCTTCGTGCTTTTGCCTCCTCTGTGTTTCACTACGTCTCTTTGCTTGCCCCTCTTTCTTCGTGGCTCTCTGTTTCTCTATCTCTCTCTCTCTCTCTCTCTCTCTCTCTCTCTCTCTCTCCCTCTCCCTCTCTCT